AATGCAGCATAGTATTCCATTGTGCGAATATACCACAGCTTCTCTAGCCATTCGCTTGCTGATGGGCACTTAGGTTGTTTCCAACTCCTTGCTATTGTGAGCAAAGCTGCAATAAACATGGGTGTGCATATATCTGCTTGGATGTCAGCTATGGTCTCTTCGTCTCTATTCTTTTGACAGTCTACAAAACATTCAATAGTCTTCTTCTCTTGGGGTAACACCCTGAACATGAACTTCTAGCCTCCTAAACTCTTGTAAGAGAATAAATTTGTTGAACCCATTCATTTGTGGTATCTCTTGTAGCCGCCCTAGGTAACCAAGGCAGTAGCATTCCAGGCACATTTTCACTGTGATTTGGCTTTTATATCTTGGGGTTATTTCCTCAGGGAGTTCTGGTGGCTGAGCCGGTTAGGATTTGCACTGTCAACCCACAGGCATAAGGTTCGAATTTGCCAGCTGTTCCATAGGGGAAAGATGGGCAATCTCCTCCTGTGCGAGTGATTTATTGTCTCTGAAAACCTGCTGGAGGGTCCGATGTGAGTCAGTTCCGGTTCAGTGATGGCACGTAACAACAACAGTGCATTTTACAACGTCATGGTAATCCAAGATATGAACACACTGTCGTTGAACCAATTCCTTAAATGCTACACACTTGAGTACTCCCATGTTTTGCTCTTTCAATGTGTGGTAAACAATGCACCGTTTAGAGTTACTTCATATGTGTGTGTGTGTGTGTGTGTGTGTGTTGAGAGACTGTATTCTGGGAGAGCTGGTGGTGTGGTCCCCAGGGAACCACACTGCCCACCCACAAGCCAAGCTATCTACTTGTTCTAACCCACAAGGAACTCTGAGGGGGAAATTAGACAATCTCCTCCGGTGCCGTTTACAGTCTCAGAAACCGAACTCAGGGTCAGCTGTGAGTCAGCTCCGACTTGTCAGCGGTGAATTATTCCTAGAGGTAGAATTACCAGGTCCAAGGACATACGTGTTTATAGTTTTGATCGGTATAGCAAATTGACTTCTAGACAGAATGTACCTAGTTTGCACTCCCACCATCAATGTATAAACAGTTCCTTCCTGTGTCTTCAAATTTTCATCAGCACTGTTCTCACGGTTTTTCATTTTGCTAGGCTGGTAAGTGGAGAAGTGAAAAGTGTCAGCGTCCGTGGACCTAGACACGCAGTGTGACTTAAGGCGCTCATGCATTTTCCCTGAATGTTTCTAGTTTTCTCAACAAGAAAACACTCAAAAGCACCCTTCAGGCGAAACGAAACACTTTGGCCAAGCAGATACAGCTTTGTTGTTGTTATGTGCCATCGAGTCATTGGCGTCTCATAGCGACCCTATGTACAAGAGACCTAAACGCCGTTCTACCCTGTGCCAACCTCGACATCTCAAATGCACTTATTTCCACTGCTCCAGTCGCAGAATCGATCTCTCTCATCGAAGGTCTTCCTCTCCTTCGCTGTCCCTCCACTCTGCCAAACATGATGTCCCTCTCCAAGGACCAGTCCCTCCTTGCAGCATTCCCAAAGTATGTCAGACGAAGCTTCAGAATCCTTGACTCCAAGGAGCATTCCGGTTTCACCTTCTCCAGGACAAACCTGTTTGTTCCCCTAGCAGTCCATGGTATATTCAACACTCTTCTCCAGCACCACAGCTCAAAGGCATCAATTCTCTATCAACCCTATTCACTGTCCAATTCTCTGATGCATAGCACGTAATTGTGAAGATTATAGCCCAGATCAGGCGTACCTTAGTCTCCAGCCTGAAGTTGTTGCTCTTCAGTACTCTTGAGAGGTCCCTCACAGCTGACTTTCCCAATGCAATTTGTCTCTTGATTTCCTGGCTGCTGATACCAAGAGTGTTGATTTTAGAGCCAAGCAAACTAAAACTGTTAGCTATCTCACTCTCTTCACCATCCATACTGATGCTGCCAATTGGCCCAGTGGTGAGATTATTTGTTTTCTTGATGTTGAGCTTCAATCCATATAGGAGGCTGCAGTCCTTGATCTTCTGCAGCAAGCGCTTCAGGTCCTCCTCAGTTTCAGCAAGCAGGGTTGTGTCATCTGCATAATGCAGGTTGTTGATGACTCTTCACCAATCCTGATGCCACATTCCTCTTCATACAGCCCAGCATCTCAGATGATCTCTTCTGCATATAGATTGAAAAGATATGGAGACAGAATACATCCCTGGTGGACCCCCTTCTTGATTTGGAACCATGTAGTGCCTCCTTGCTCTGTTCTGATGACTGCCTCTTGGTCCAAGTATAGGTTTCACATTAGCACAATCAAATGTTCTGGGATTCCCATTCTTCTCAGAGTCAGCCACAGCTTGTTGTGATCCAAACGGTCAAAAGCCTTTGCATAGTCAATGAAGCACAGATAGATATTCTTTTGGTATTCTTTGCTTTTTGCCAACATCCTTCTAACATTAGCTGTAATATCCCTAGTACCACGACCTCTTCTTGCTTTGACAACAAAGTCGAAATCTACTGAGAAAGTGGAAGAGGTGGTTAACCAGATATTGTTGTTAACGTGCCAGTAAGCAGAGAAGTGAACTCTAGTTACAATTTTCAGTGACCAGGCTAGTGATGCCTGCACCCACAGTCGTGTAGGCTAGAACACCTAACACGTCCGTCCACCTTTCACGACCTGGAAAAGAAAGAAACCAAGAGTCTCCAAATTTACCAGCTTACACTTACTTGGCATCCAGGAAAATAGAGGCTTCAGTTCTTCGTCTGAAAGATTAACTACTGAAAACGTCCTTCAGTAAATCGTAGGGACCATCATTTAACAGTCCCAGTCAAGGGGAGTTCTGGTGGCCCAGTGGCAAGGAGCTGCAACTACAATCCCAGAGGCGCACGGTTCGGTCCACCAGATGCTCTGCCGAGGAAGGAGGGACAATCTCCTCTTGTACCAGTCAGATCTGATTTGACGGTACACTCACACAAAAATAATAAAATTTAAAAAAAAAAACAGTCCCAGTCAGTACAACACAGGCATGAGGGTAACCCTTCTACAGGCCCGAAAAGGAACGGGGATGCGTCCTGCATTCAGGGCTGTGAATGCCTCAAGCTAGTGCAGACAGACACCAGTGATAATACACTGCTTGTGCATAGTCCGTCTATGCTTCTACATACGTCCACTCATACTCGACCCATCTCCCTTCACACCCATCAGTCCTCCTACTCTCCCATCCACCATCCTCCAGCACTTCCATGAAGACGCCACGGATGTTTCCATGCATATTTCTTCTGGTTTTGTTGTGTGCTCTAAAGTCAGAATCAACCCACAGCTGATCCCCTGGTGGGTTTTCAAAGGCTGTTAATCGCATGGGAAGAGACTGCCCATCCTTCTCCCGGGGAGCACTACCGTTAACCCTCCACCTCTACGCTCACCCGTACCCCATTCCCACGCAATCTGTGTGAAGTCCAGACATCAGCAGCACCTGTCTTTATTCTCTGGTGCCTGGATGGTGTTAGCCTGGTGTGAGGAGGGAGAATAGTCACCAGAAGGGACCCCAGGAAGATTCCGGGTGCTGACATTGGTCTGTTCGTTTGTTTCCTTATGTTGGTGAGGATTAAACAGGTCTTTTCCACGGGTGAGAATCATAAGCACATACGGATTTATCTTTCTGTATGTAAGAGACACTTCCATAAAAACATGCAATCATCATCTCAGCAGATAAAGAGGGCATCTCCCACATGCCCTTCAAATCCCCAAATGGGCTTTCAACTTTCCCCTTACTTTTCTGCATTCCTGCCTCATGTCATATTTTCAGTTTCCTTGACTTTGTAGCAGCTTCACAGAGCAATAGG